CATGTACAACAGAAAATGTGCTTGATTTAGTAATTTCTCCTTTAAGGACATGTATGTTTATCTGGGTCAGGAGCTAAAACTATTTCCTCAAAAGGTGATTAGCAACCTCTCAACGAAATTTTCAAGATATTGGTGAATAGATTCTTTATCAATAAGTTTTCTGATCTGAACTCTTTAAGAATTCAAAGAATATCTATGCTCCTTCATTTACTTCTGAGTATCAGGCTTTAATAATTTCTAGTACATTGTTGGAAGAAGAATATACTCTATAGGGTAAAGAGGGTGATTTCAGCCTTTCTGGAACCACAGACACATGGAGACTGTTAAGTAACCAGCAGCTGCAGTTATTCACTTAGACTGAAGTGCTCCTCACAGAATGAAGTGCTCACTTGGGCTGCCTGTGTGGGGTGGAAAACAAAGCTGGTGTGCATTTGTGGGAAATGCCTAGCTCACCAGTTTCAGGAGTATCTTCCTCCTGAAACAACTACCTCGCCTTTCCTGAGAAAGTAGTGTAATGGAAATTGTGTTGACTCTCACACTTTCAAACAGATGGTACCATTATATACTGTCATGTTTTGTGAATTGACTTATTTGAAATGTGATCCTCAGTGTTTATTCCAGGTGCTAACAGGTGGTTCTGATTAGAGAGATGTCTGGTATATTAGGTATGTCTTGTGGCTCGACACTCTACAGAAGATTTGTTGTTGGTCAAGAGGTCCCTGATTGCTTCTGTCTGTATCCAGCGTGTACCATCTCTCTAATAGTCAGCCTTTGAATGCTCATCAGTATGCCAGAAGCTGAAATGTTGTAAGGTTCTTTTCTTCTTTCTCTGTTTTTGGACTTGAACTTGGTATTTGATGCTTTTGCTCTTGAGCTTGCACTGTACCACTTGAGCCATGCCTCTAGTCCCTCTTCTTCATTTTTATTAGTGTTTTTTTTTCTCTTCTGGTACTTAAAATGTTGGAAGGAATAAGATGCCTGAAATTTCTATCTTAAAGCCACAGTCAGCAGACACCTTGATCAGGCAGAACACATTTTTGTCCTGGCTATTTCAGAAGAATTGGTTAATAAATTATAAAGGAACGGTTCTTTTAGTTTGGGCACAGTGAATTTGCTGCCTTTATGGGCTAGTGGTAGAGAAAATGTTCTTTTTTTTTAATTGTGAAAATACTGTACAGAGGGGTTACAATTACATGGGCAAGATAATGAGTACATTTCATATCAAGCATTGTAGCCTCCTCCTTTGTTTACCCTTCCTATCCCTTCCCATCCTCCCTCCCCCCCACCCAATCGTCCCACCCCCCAAGTTGTAAAGTTCGTTTTCGACATGACAACTTGTACTTCTCATTGTTGGAACAGATCCACCTGTATCCTTATTTAAACGACTTGTTTTTCCCCTTCCCCTCCACAAATTATACCAACATCAAATACAGTGAAAGCAGGGGTTATACTGTGGGGGAGGGACATACAAAGCAACAAAGAAATAATCTTATAATTGTGTTAGAAACAAATGCATGAAAGAAAAAAACATTTAAAATACATATCTTAGGGTTCATTTTCCTAACATCACCTTATTTGACCTTTTCTGCTTGACTCATACATATACTAGATATTGCAAATAAGGGAACCTATGGGATCTATGTTTCTTTGGGCTTGGCTTACTTCACTTAATATAATTTTTTCCAAGTCTTTCCATTTCCTAACAAATGGGGCAATGTCATTCTTTCTGATGGAGGCATAGAATTCCATTGTGTATATATACCACATTTTCTTGATCCATTCATCTACTGAGGGGCATCTGGGTTGGTTCCATATCTTAGCTATGGTAAATAATGCTGCAATAAACATAGTCGTGCTGGTAGCTTTAGTGTGGTCTTGTTTGTAAACATTTGGGTAAATGCCCAAAAGTGGGACTGCTGGGTCATAGTGGAGCTCTATGTGGAGTCTTTTGAGGAACCTTCATACTACTTTCCAAAGTGGTTGAACAAGTTTACACTCCCACCAACAATGAAGTAAGGTTCCCTTCTGTCCATATCCCCTCCAGCATCTGTTGTTATTAGAGTTCTTGATTTTTGCCATTCTAACTGGGGTGAGGTGATATCTCAATGTTGTTTTGATTTGCATTTCTTTTATGGCTAGAGAGGTTGAGCATTTCTTCATGTGTCTATTGGCCATCCTTCTTTCTTCTTCAGAGAAGTGTCTCTTTAAGTCATTAGCCCACTTATTTATTGGGCAGTTATTTCTTTGAGGATTTGTTGTTGGGGGATTTAATTTTTTGAGTTCCAATTATATTTTAGATATGAGACCCTTGTTCATTGTATGGCTAGTGAAGATCTTTTCCCAATCCATGGGCTTTCTATTGATCTTGCTAGCTATGTCCTTTGCCATGCAGAAGCTCTGCAACTTCATGCAATCCCATTTGTCCAACCTTTCTTTGATTTGTTGTGTTTCCGGGTCTCTATTAAGAAAATTTTGGCCTGTGCCAAGGAGACCTAGGGTTTCTCCTATTCCATCCTGTAATGTTTTCAGAGTGTCTGCTTTGACTCCGAGGTCTTTGATCCATTTGGAGTTGATTCTGGTGCAGGGTGATATATAAGGATCTAGCTTTAGTTTTCTACAAGTAGTTAACCAATTTTGCCAGCACCATTTACTGAAGAGGCTGTCTTTCTTCCATTCTATTTTTTTAGCTCTCTTATCGAAGATTAGATGGCTATAGGTCTGTAGGTTCATTTCTGGGTTTTCAATTCTATTCCATTGGTCCTGAGGTCTGTTCTTGTGCCAGTACCAAGCTGTTTTGATTACTATGGCTTTATAGTAGAGTTTGAAATTTGGTATTGATATTCTTCTAGCAGTGTTCTTTCTGTTGAGGAGCGTTTTTGCTATTCGGGGTCTTTTATTGTTCCATATGAATTTTTGGATTGCCTCTTCTATTTCCTTGAAGAATGAGGTTGGAATTTTGATAGGTATCACATTGAATTTGTAGATAGCCTTGGGAAGTATTGCCATTTAGGGAAAATGTTCTTAAAACCTTGTAACGATATCATATCTAAAAGCTTGCTCGATCATAGCACAGGCTTGTCTCATATCTAAAAGCATGCTGGATCGGAGCACTCACAGGCCTTGTCTCAGACTTTTTAAAAAATATGATTTTATTGTTATTATTTAGGTGTTGTACAGAGGGTTTACCATTTCAGAAATCAAATAATGCATACATTTCTTTCTTTTTTTATATTTTTTATTGACATTTCTTTTTGAACAATGTCCCCCCCTTCTTTTGCTTTTCTCCAGTTTCCCCCTCTCATCCCTGCCCACAAGCTACATATTTCATTTTCTACGTAGTGTATACTGTGCCCCCTACAGCCCCCCACCAAAAAGAAAAAAACCCAAAAGCAAAAACAGATACCACTACTACCACCAGCAACAAAGAAACCCATGTTTCATTTCCTGGAATTTGTTTTGTAATAGTATTTTAAATTTTCAGAGGGGTTATACCTTTGTATTCCTCTGGTAAGGAACACAAAGTCTCCGTGTGAATGCCTAGAGTCTTACGTAAGTCATTATGTACAGTTGCATTTTGTTTTATTTTTGGTCGGTCGTGGGCTTGAACTCTGGTCCTGGGCGCTGTCCCTTAGCTCTTCAGCTCAAGGCGAGCGCTCTACCACTTGAGCTACAGCGCCACTTCCGGTTTTCTGGTGGTTTATTGGAGATAGGAGTCTCACGGTCTCTCTCGCCCGGGCTGGCTTTGAACCGAGATCCTCAGATCTCAGCCTCCCGAGTAGCTAGGATTACAGGCGTGAGCCACCAGCGCCCAGCTTTACAGTTGCATTTTAGATCTAGCTTCCACCTATGAGAGAAAATGTGTCATTTGTTTCTCTGAACTTGTCTTACCTCACTTAACATGATTGTTGTAGGTCTATCCATTTTCCTGCAAATGACATACTCTTTTTCTTTCTAATAAATAAGTAAAATTTCATTGTGTATGTGTACTGTATTGTATTGATCCACTCATCTATTGTAGGGCATCTGGGCTATTTCCATAACTTGGCTATTGTGGTGAATAGTGCAGCAGTGAACATTGGATGTGCAAGTGTTTTTACAGTATCCTGACTCAAAATGTGTACTGGGTAGATGCCCAAACTTTTTTCATACACCTAAAAAATAAAAAAATATTAACCAGTTACATAGCATTACTTAATCCAGGAAAGCAGATATGTTTACAGCTAATAATATAAAACCTAAACAGATTTTAAATCCCAAATCTTCTAGATTAAAATATCTTAAAATATTCAACCCATAAACAAGATGCATAAGAGTCATTTTCCTTTCGCCCTTCAAACCCCAAGAAAAGAAAGGTAGTGCCAGGGCATTTCCATATAAATATAAATTATTATTAAAAATTAAATTGTTATTATAAAGGTGATGTACAGAGATATTTCAGTTACATAAGCCAGGTAAAGAATACATTTCTCTTTGGACACTATCACCCCTTCCCTTGCTTTCTTCATTTTCCCTTTCATTCTCACAAGTTGCATAGTTCATTTTCAATATAGTGTCTAGTGAGTACCACTGCTGCATTTGTTCACCCTGAATATAAATTATTATCAACACCAAATGGAAGCAGTGGGAACATTAAGTGCCCTTTAATTTGTGGAATTGTTTCTTTATATTTTTTTTAAAAAGTCTATTCATACAAAAATTAAATTTGTCTTCTTTAAATCTTATATTATGGCTACTTAATGGTTCCTTTCACTCCCAGATACTGTAGTTTGAACTCAGACCTGCAGCTTGCCAGGCAGGTGCTCTAGAATTTAAACTTCATTTCCGGCTGAGAACATAATCGTCTGTGTATTTGAATTTTGATACTTGTCCATGATGAACCTTCTTCTGTGGGAATGGTAGTTGATGAGGATGGTGTATGATTGTAATGTTAACTTAGGTCATGCACCAACTTGTTGGGAACTGTCATGTGTGACTTCTCCTTTTCTTCACCTTGATTGTAGAGAGGTACAGAAAGCAGTCAACACTGCCCAGGGATTGTTTCAGAGATGGACGGAACTCCTCCAGGACCCCTCTGTGGCAACAAGGGAAGAAATCGACTGGACTACAAACGAGTTAAGAAACAACCTCCGTAGCATCGAGTGGGATCTGGAGGACCTTGATGAAACTATCAATATCCTTTTCTGTGCCTGTCTGTGCTGCTTGGGGTATATGCACAAGTGGACAAGTTTTACCCACATGTCTCAAGTACATAGACGATACATTTCCTTTTCTAATCGATTGCTGTTGCTCCTGTTTGTACCATGACACACACACAAAATTTTCTCTGTAAGCTAAGGTAGCATAGCCCATTTCCACAGTGCTTAACACATCCTGTAGTTACAGAAGCAGCGTATTTGGTTGTCTGACTTTCACTGTGGAGTCAGACTATTAATGTTCAGATTCTGGTTCCACCACCAAGAGGTAAAAGCAAACTTTTTCTCTCTACTCACACTGAGTAAAGTTTTTCTGATAACACATATATGTGAATATTTTCCCCCCACACCAAGCATTTCTCCAGCAGACACCAGGTGGGAGTCATGCAGTTGAATTTCATTTTGACACTGTCTTCCTGGAGATAGTATCAGACCCCATAGGAGCCAAGACTACTCCCAATTCAGATGCTTCTCAGGTCCTAGTTTCTGACCTGTTCATCATCTTCCCTCAGAGCAGCTCATAGAATTCAGGGAGACACATTACTCATGTTCCCATTTATTATAAAGGCTGTTATTGGCGGCAGGGGGCGGTGTGGGGGAGAGAGAAGTAAAAGCTATTACAAAGTAGGCAGATGAAAGAGATGCTTAGGACAAGGTATGGGAAAATAGAAAAGGACACTACTCTTTTCTGGAGCACCACCATCCACCATCTAAACAAATTCAGACAGCTATCTTGAAGCTCCTGTTACCCTATCCATTTGGAGAATTATGGGAGCTTCATTACATAGGCATGATTCATTACATCATTGGGCATTTAACCCCTTTTCCCTCCCCGAGGTAGGAAGTAGGTTGAGGCTGAAAGTTCCTACTCTCTAATCACACAGTTGATTTCTCTGGTGAGCAGTCCCCATCCTGAGGAGCTCTATGAGCTCCTAGACCATAGTTACCTCATTAGCATACAGAATGACCCTTACAACTTAAAGAGATTACAAGTATTTTAGGAACTATGTACCTGGAACTGGGACTGAAACCAAACATCCATTTAATACAGAATCACAACCAGTTACTGTGACTTTGAGCACATTGCTGAACCTCTCTACTTCAGTTTCTTCTTCAGTAGAGAATTGGGATAACCAGAGGACTTACTCCATAGGTATTCTTGTACTCTTGTACATGGGTAGAGTGTTACATAGGTAAAGAGCTTAGAATGGTGGCATGGCACATAGTAAACTTCTAGAAAACTTTCAACAGTTGTGCTGGGGGTGTAGCTCAGTGGTACGGCATTTGTCTAGCCTAATATACAGGGCCCTGTATTCTATCCCCAGTACCACAGGGAAAAATAATAGTATTCATCATTATTGTATAGATTTACATTATATACTGATATACTACAGACCAATTTTATCCATTGTTTATCAGAGAATAAAAGAAAATATTTTTGGTTGTTAAGAAGTAATGTTAAGGGGCTGAGAAGGTAGCTCAGTGGTAGAGTGCTTGCCTTGCATGCATGAGTTCGATTCCTCAGTACCACATAAGCAGAAAAAGCTGGAAATGGAGCTATGGCTCAAATGGTAGAGCACTAGCCTTGAGCTGAAGAGCTGAGGGACAGCGCCCAGGCCCAGAGTTCAGGCCTCATCACAGACCAAAATAAATAAAAATAAAAGAAGTAATGTTAAATTTCTGCTACATTGGAGAGTTATCTGTTACTGGGAAACTGTTGAGTAAAAGCAGGTTTTCCTATTGATGTTCTAAGATAAAGTCCAGACACCTTGCTGATGAATTAGAGATCTGTTGGAAGCTGAATTATGTGGGCATGTCTGTGTTGTGTTACTGTTTTCTATAAGTGAAACAAAACATTAAGGAAACAGCTTGTTTAAGGATCAACCACTAGTTAGCACAGGTTAATATGCAGTTGATAGCTAGTGCTTACTTGCTATTATTATGATCCTAGGTGCCTTTTAGGTTATTAAAGGCAAGTGTGTTACATAAAACATAGTAGGTGATGTATCAGAATCACAGTTTTATTCAGATACTTCTTCCTTTGAGATAGGGGGGAATTAATAAAGATTGGGGAAGATTTAAAAAGAAACAAAACTGGGAGGACCAAGTATAGTAGTACAAGCCTATAATCTCAGCAGTCAGGAGGATATAACAAGAGAAACAAGTTCCAAGCCAGGCTGAATTATGTAGTTGTTTGTCACAAACAAAAGAAATGATGAGCTAAAGTTTTGAGGGATACTCATTTATTTAGTAAATGTTTCTTTTTTGTTGGTTGTGGGGCTGGAACTCAGGGCCTGGTCGCTGTCCCTGAGCTCTTCTGCTCAAGGCTACCTACCTCTCTACCACTTTGAGCCACAGCTCCACTTCGTTTCTGAGTGGTTAACCGGAGATAAGAGTCTCATGGGGACTTTTCTGCCAGGGCTGTCTTCTAACCCCCATCCTTAGGTCTCAGACTTCTGAGTAGCTGGGCGTATAGCCGTGAGCCACCAGCTCCCAGCAAACATTTCTTCAGTGTACTATGTCCCAGGTATTTTGTTGGATTATTAAGATTAGGTTAGTAAATTAAATAGTGTACCAGCCCTCATGGAACTTAAGGTTGAGAACAGATATTAAATAATAACACATATTACCTAAAGTCCATGCTAGAGTATAAGATAGCTTCCCTAAAGGTTTGATTTTTTTTTTTTTTTGTAGAAGAGAGTATTTTGAAATGAAAATTGAAAATGCTTGTAAACACTGTCATAAATCAGAAGATAAGTGTTGGTAGGTCAGGAAGAACCCAGCTTTCCTGTGATCAGAGAGGCCATAAGTGTAGTAAATACAACCAGTAGGAGCTTGTGTGTATATGTGTGTGTGTGTGTGTGTGTGCGCATGTATGTGCCCTGGGGATTTAACCCAAGGCTTTGAGTTAGGCAAGCTATCACTAAGTTATATACTGAACCTTTTTTTTTTTATTTTTGTCTGTTGTGGGGCTTGAAGTCAGAGGCTCTCTCCGAACCTCTTTGTGCTCAAGACTAGTGCTCTGCTACTTGAGCCACAGTGCCACTTCCAGTTTTTGAGTGGTTAATTGGAAATAAGAATCTCATGAGAAGCCGGGTGCTGGTGGCTCATGCCTGTAATCCTAGCTACCCAGGAAGCTGAGATCTGAGGATGGCAGTTCAAAGCCAGCCAGGGCAGGAAAATCCATGAGTTTCTTACCTCCAGTAAACCAACAGAAAACTGGAAGTGGCTCAAGTGGTAGAGAGCTAGCCTTGAGCTGAAGAGCTGAGCCCAGGCCCAGAATTCAAGCCCCATGACTGACAAAAATAAAAAACAAAAATAAAAAAGAGTCTCATGGGGACTTTTCTTTTCTGCCTGGGCTATCTTTGAACTGCAGTCCTCATATTTCAGCCTCCTGACTAGCTGAGCTTACAGGTATGAGCCGCTGGTGCCTGGCCACCCTTTATTTTTTGAGAAAGGGCCTTGTCCCGTAGCTCAGGCTAGCCTGTAACTTGCTTCCCTCCTCTGCATCCGAAGTACTGGAATTACAGGTATGTACCATTATAGAATACCATAGCAGAAGCTCTTTCTTAACTGGGAAGACCATCTCACTTGTCATGGAGTGAAGGAGTCTTCACATTGTTATGGGCAGAGAAAGTTTGGGAATGTTTAGGGTCAAATTGTCTTTGCTTTTAAAAAGTTTGGGTCAGCTTTTACTGATGGCATGTAAAACATTCTTTAGTTTAACTATATGTTGTTAGGCTTTTGATTGTGGAATTGCTGAGCCTTGACTTTTGACTCACGCATAGTTGAAGCAAATCCTAGAAAATTCAACCTTGATGCATCTGAATTGAGTATAAGAAAAGCCTTCATTACAAGTACTCGACAAATCGTCAGGGTAAGAAATATGATCTTACTTACTGTGTTACCTGTGTAAGAAAAGGCCACATTTCTTAGAACTCTTTCCTGTAATTGTAAACTAGTAGGTCAAGTCTCAGGCCATGTTTTAGTATGAATTCAATGTCAGTTTCCCACAAACAACTTCTCTGATTGAGAAAACAAAAAGAATGTTTTTAGTATTGTATGGCTTATTAGAGAAAAAAAATAAAACAACAAACTACTGGCTATGGAAAGCTTGTTGTAATATATGATCTACTTGTTCATGTCTCTGATTTCTTAAACTAGTAAGTTCTTTTCCTTGGTATGCTTTGTTTCTGGACAAATGGAAGAATTCTGTTGTAGAAGACATTTGATGGATGGGTAATCACTTGTGTTCTGAACATTGCAACCCCCTCCCCCCCCTTGGTTTGGATGGTAGTCTCTCCTACCATCTGAGTTGCTTCTGGACTCTTGTAGCCTATGTTATTGACACTGTCATATACAACTTGGCAGCCTCTCAGGATTTATCCAGAACAAGCATCTATCAGTGTGGCGAAAAAACCCAACATATGCACAAAACGTAGTTGACTAAATTTTTAGTCCCTAATTTTTAAAAATACATCAGTTATTAAAAAATCTAGGAGAGTATGGTTTAAACATAATCTTGCATCATTAAGATGTTTTGTATTTTGAAACTATATGGCCAAGCTATTTGGTTAGCGTAACTAGATGTAAGAGAACCAGATGTCTTTAACATATGTACTAGAGAGCAGCCTCTTTGAATAAAAAGACTTGGGATCAGACCAGTGCTAACATATGGCAGGAACCTTGGTGTGTATTTGCCAAAGACTTTCTGTCATGTGATTTCCTCTTGAAAGTATTTGAAATGCTAGGTTATCATTGAACTTTATATATTGTTTCTGTTTAATTCAATAGTTGCATTTCTGTATTCTTATGCCTAAATTGTTTATAACGAAAACCACATGGTAGAAACCTTTCTGACTTACGGTACTCCCATCTAGGAAGTAAGTGTTTAGATTGGAGTCTACTAATATCTAGCCAGTTCAAAATGCTGTTCTAGTAGGCCCTGTTGTTAGATGACATCTTTTGTATAATGACCTAACTCCCTGGTTGTTTTTGATGAATATAATTTTCTTTCCTTTCTTTTTTGTAATAGGTTTTCAGAAAGATGCTACCTTCAATTGTAATATTTAGTGGTGGCTTGCAGGCTAAGCAAATACTCTTCTTCTTTCTTTTTTGGTGCCAGTTCTAGGCTTGAATTCAGGGGTTAGGTGCTGTTACTGTACTTTTGTGCTCAGGCTAGCACTGTACCACTTGAGCCACAGCTCTGCTTCTGGCTTTTGAGTGGTTAATTGGTGATAAGATTCTCACACTTTCCTGCCCAGGCTGCCTTTGCAACACAATCCTCAGAACTCAGTCTCCTGAGTAGCTAGGATTACAGGTCACTATTGCCTGGCCTGGAAAGGTTTCAAAAGTACATTCATAATAAGGAAATAGCAATGGAACTGGGTTGAATTTCTTCTAGAATCTTGGTCGTGATGACAGAGTTATTGGTTTTCATGACAGAGAAGCAAGATTTCCTTTTCTGGATGAAAATGTCCTCTCTTATTCCTAAATTCCCTACCAGTTTGGGAAAAGGCAAATTTGGAATTGGTGAAAAATTACTTCTATGTCTTGCAGCCATGGAACTTGGTCTTCCATCCTCCTCTATTCTACCAAAAATGGGCCATGCAGTTTGGATCTAGAATTTCAAAAATGGAAAAAATAAAAAAGCATCTGATAATGTGGAAGGCTCCATAAAGCTTCTTATAAAACCTTTCTTTTGAAAAGAAAATTGTTTTTTTTTTTTTTTTTTGGGTCCGGTCATGGAGCCTGAACTCTGGGCCTGAGCGCTGTCCCTCAGCTCTTCAGCTCAAGGCTAGCGCTCTACCACTTGAGCCACAGTGCCACTTCCAGATTTTTTCTTTTTGCTTATGTGGTGCTGAGGAATTGAACCCAGGGCCTCAGGCATGCAAGGCAAGCACTCTACCACTGAGCCAACTTCCCAGCCCCAAGAAAGGTTTTTTTGAAAGGATATTAAGCCATAATATGATCTCACATCACTTACTAAATACTAGTTATATAAAAATACTCTTGTCCTATTATTGTAAAAAAAAAAAAAGTACATTCAAAGGAATATTTTAACTCAAGTCAGTACATCAAAATTTTGCTGTATTTCTAGATTGGCCACTACTGGCCAGTTGTGAGGTAATAGTATTTGACAACTCTTCTGCTTTGACTTAAATAAATTTTAATTGAAAGTGTATTTTAATTGAAAGTGTAATAGAAGAAAGTAGCAGTGATGCTAACGTGATTAAAAATAAAAAGAAGAAAATACATTGATTGCAGTGTTGCTTTATTCAGCTCAACAGTGTTTGTATAGGTACCTCTAGGTTCTAAATGGAGGAGATTGATAAGAGAGGTCAGGAAGTTAGCAGATGTGGAAAGTAAGACAATACCAAATTCAGATTACAGGTTTATCAAAATTCTTGTTACTATTGTCAGTTGGCTCTCATTTAATATTCAGTTTTTTGTTTTTTTGTTTTTTTTTTGGTTGGTTGTGGGGCTTAAACTGAAGGCCTAGGTGCTGTCTCCGAGTCTCTTTGTGCTCAAAGCTATTGCTCTACTACTTGAGCCACAGTGCCACTTTTGGTTTTTGAGTGGTTAATTGGAGATAAGAGTCTCATAGGGACTTTTCTGCCCCACTTGGCTTTAAACCACAATCCTCAGATCTCAGCCTCCTGAGTAGCTAGGATTACAGGTGTGAGCCACCCGCATCCGGCTCAATAATTTTTAATATACAAGTCAAAATATAGCATTGGTTAAGATAGCTAGTGTGGATAAGATATCTGATGTGTTCTCTGATGATGGAATGTGAGGCCTCTGAGTAGGAAACCGTGGTAGGAAAACCTGGGATGTCTCATTTGTTCAGCCTGGAAGACTGTGAGATGGAAACAGGAGCATAAATAACGGGCATTTATTGTTCTTTTGCACATGAACCATATTTTATTGGGACTGCTTCTTGATTGCTGGTGTTAAACTTCATGTGTTAGGAAGAGGATGAATAATTAGGTTTTTTGGCATAATAGATGGTTACAATGTTTTAAAATGGTTCAGTAACAGCTTAAAATTTCATATCCCAGTAAGGAAGGTGAGCTTCTGTGGAGTGTCTGTGATTTTAACCTACATAGATAAAAGGTCATCCTGGAAGTAAAGGCCATAGCTCCTGAAGCTCCTCTACCTGCAGCTGGGGGCTCATGCCGGCTGCCCATGACATGACTACCAGTGTTCCACGCACTCTCCATAGTTTTTATTAAGCAAGATCTTAAAATCTGAGATTGGAGAATAGCATTAAAATAATGCATGTTCATTAAAAAATTAGAACAATTTTATAAAAAAAATGGAAACTGTAATACCCAAATATAATGCTTTGTTGTAATTTTTTGAGTCATTTTCCTATCAGTACAATCAGGGCATGCTAGACAATCAGGCTACTCTGGAGTTACATCTGTAGGCCACCTTTATATTTTCTTTTATTCTGATATGGGATCTTGAACTTAGGGATTTGCCACTTGAGCAAGTACGTTAGCTCTGCTTTTTGCTGGTTATTTTGGAGATGGTGTATTGAGTTTTCTGCCTAGGCTAGCTTTAAACTGTTATCCTCTAGGTCTCAGCCTCCTGAGTAGCTAGGATTATAGGTGTGGAACATTTTGAAGTTGTGATCTTACTGTTTTTCAATTATATGTCTTAAAATTTTTTTAAGTAAAAATAATTTATATTTACTATTTAAAAAAATGCTAATAATTGTAATGTGTTTGAAAGATGTCCCTCCATTTGCTCCCTAGATATAATCGTCAGTATTTTTCTAATCATTTTGTGGACATTGAAATAACATCAATTCTTAAAAAGAAGTGACATGATATTCTGTAATTTTTTTTTTCTGTGAAAATGCATATGGTAAATTGTGTGGGAGGCTGAGATAGGAGGAGACTGAGATTCAGGCCATTCTTGGCTATGTGGTGAGGCCCCATCTGAAAAATAAAAATTGTACTTTGGACACTGTCTTATATCTATGCATATATGTGTATATATATGCCGCACTGTCTAGTAGAAAGATATGTGAATCATTGTGTTTTGTAAAATTTTCTGGTATTAAAAAAAATAGAAATAAGTGAATCAAATACAGATTATTGAGCCTAATATATCCAGACAATTATCTGAACATGCAGACAACATAAGAAATATTTATGAGAAGCTAAATTTTGTTTTGGCCTTTTATACTGAGAATTCTAGGAGCCAGGCGCCATGGCTCACATCTAGCTACTCAGGGGGCTGAGGTCTGAGGATCGCAGTTCAAAGCCAGCCCAGACAAGAAAGTCCTTGAGACTCTTATCTCCAATTAACCACCAGAAAACCAGAAATGGCACTGTGGCTCAGAGTGACAGAGCATTAGCCTTGAGCAAAAGAGCTCAGTGCCTATGCCTAGTTTAAGCCCCACAACCAATAAATAAATAAAATTCTAGGGCTGGAGATGTGGCTCAAGTAGTATAATACTAGCCTAGCAAACACGAAAGTCCTGATTTCAAACACCAGCATTCAGGGGGGAAAAAAAAACCAAAAATGAATTTAAAGTCTGGGTATTTTACATTTAAGTGCATCTCAATTCAGATGTGAATTTTTCACTGGAAATATTTAACATATTTAGAATTCATAAAACAACTGAAAAAGTAGATTTATAAACTCAATTTTCTCAGCTACACTTAAAAATTTTTCTAGTAAATGAACATGTTTCAGTTAATTAAAATAAATGGATTCAGTTCCTTGATTGTACTGACCCTGTTCTAAGTGTTCAGTAGCTATAGTTGGTTGTTGTGTCTGTTCCCGGGCCTGACAGCTTTAAATGGTCCCTTGTTATAATTGTGTACTTCAATATGATGGCAATATTGACTTGCCTGGTTACTGTGTTGTTGACTGCTGTTAATCACACTTCATATACTATCTCTTAATGCCACAGTGCTTCTATGATATATTACCCAAATGAGTAGAAGTAGTAGAGAAATGGGGTAATTTTGTCCGTCTTAACACTGATACTAAAAAACGTGAATTCTTGAACCCAGATCTTTTACGTGAAAGAGTATATGACTGACCCTAATGGCTTCTGTAATCTGGCTCTGCTATGATTTAGTTACTGACTGAGCAGTCAAAAACTGTACTTTAGGTACCAGTAGCTCATGGCTATAATCCTGATTTAGGAGGCTGAAATATGAGTTTAGAGTTAACCAGCAGAAATCTTGAGTGTAGCCCAAGTGTTAAGAGTGCCAGACAGGAGCAAAAAAGCCAACCAAGAGTGCAATCCCCTGTACCATAAATAAATAAATAAATATTTAATTTAAAAAAATCTAGGGGCTAAGAAGGTGGCTCAGTGGTAGAGCGCTTGCCTTGCATGCATGAGGCCCTGGGTTCAATTCCTCAGCACCACATAAGCAAAAAGAAAAAAGCC